AAACACATACCCCGGCAAGCACTCGCACACACACAAAATAAATATAAAAATATATATCGCCCCATAATAATATATATATATATATATATATATATGTATATATATATATATATATATATATACAGAAGTATACATACATAGATACATAGATACATACGCATATATATATATATATAGACACAGACACAGATACACACTACACAGACACACACATATATATATATATACATATTGTGAGAACACATATACTGACACGGACGCGGACACATACACACGCACAGAAACAGACACAGACTACACACAGACACAGACACAGACACAGACATATATATTTATATAACACACAGACACATACATACATACATACATACATGCATATATATATATATTTATATATATATATATATATCGTTGTAGGTGCATGGCTTGGTGAGCCAACTTTAGTTCAAACATGAGAGCGAATATTCTAGCAACTATTTATCTCGGAGCCTAAATTGCTCAACAACAAAAATAGAAATTTAGACATAGAAATTTAGACATTCGCATACCTGACTTTTGGTGTCTTTCTGATAGAGCTCTTTAATTTTGTAACCACATGAAGCGGTGCGCCTAGTTGGCCTGCCTTGATATCCTGCAACGTCGGCAGCGTTTGCGGTTGTATATGGACTACGTCTCGCACTTTCTTGTGCAATTGGTGCATCTCAACCAACTTCTTGAACACCATTGTTTCAGCTTATTCTTGCCTATTTCGATGCTTGTTTGTTACGTCACACAGGCTTTCGTATACTTCTCCAAAGACTAAAATAAATAATATATTCAGCTCTCCACTGTTTGTGTACAGGAGTCTAATCCTGAATCTATCACGGTCAACGAAGCATGAACGAAGGACTTGAAATTATTGATGTGTGTCCACTTTCCAGCAGAGTCTCGACTCTCGAGTCTCGAGTCTCGAGTCTCGACCGCATCAAACCTCTAGTTGAAGAAGAGTGAATTTTAAAAATGTCATCAACCACTCTAGCCGGGGGAGCCCAGGGCTGCCGGGCCAAAGGCCACGCTGAAACATTTCCAACTTTAAAAGCAGTTCGGTACATTTGCCACTGTCAAATGTCCCAAAGTCCTCGGTTTTTGTGTGACAGTGCGAGACTGTGCAGTGTGCGCTGGTCCTGATTGTGTCGGCATGATCGGATTTGGAATGATCGCGTGGTGTTTTTTGGATCAATGTCTTCGAGAAACGGGAACTGAGAAAACACGCCCCAGACCACACCAGCAGCAGCAAGTTTTTGTCTCCGTTTGACGTTGGTGAATATTTTATTTATTTACTTCATATATACGTACACGTCTGTGTGTATAATACAATCTAGACATACGTAACCAATCTACACGTAGTAGGTGTCTATCAACTGCCGAAGCAGATATTTATATTCTGCACTCGAATCACATCAGTCTAAGCTACTCACACACATCATTACAACATGTCGTCTATCTCTAACCCCCTAGTCGGTGGTTCCACTGGTGCCACACTAGAAGCACCTCCTGCGCCTATGCACCAGACCCCACCCCCAGAGGCTGTCGCCCCGGTAGTGGCCGCCGCAGTCAAGGCTAAGGGTGATTTGCCATACCCTGGACCTTTCGAGATCCTTCATCAGGAAGTAAAAGGTGGGTCAATTTCATTTTTTTTTTGCAGATGGCACTTGCATGCACTAACTTGATTAACGTGGTGAGTTACCACACCAGCTATTTCACCAAGCGAAAGTCTATCAATATATATATATTTTTAGGCTGAGTTGTATATTAATAGCAGTAGTATAGGATCAGTGGCGGGCTAAGTTAATTGAAATTATCATGCCCAGTGATCTGAGTGCGTCGGCACAACTGAACGGATGCTTGTACTTTGCACCGAAAGTAGCCATAGAGCTGTCGTATATAGGATGGAAATGCATTCGTGGCGTCAGTCTTTGTCTTCTAGGTGAATTTATACCATGACGTATAGACGTCGTGTATTCACTGCACTGCTGGGCTTTAACGTTGTGTTCGTGCCTACGGTGGTGCTGTTGAAAGTGATATTAGACTGTTTGGACGAGTTACACCCAATTGGCGCACACGAAAACTTAGTTTTCATTCTTTCTATCGAGAAACAATGATAGTTTAGATGCTCGAGGCGTGCAGCGGAGAAGATACTCGGGGGGTTTCTGACCTGGTCAGCAGTTTATTTTCTTCCTGTGGGTTTGTCGCATTCAAGTACACGTTTGGGCCGTAGCCGTGTACATTATATAGGAAGAAACTTTGTTATCTTGAGCTTTTGGAAATTGATATCTTCTCTAATTTCTAACGACATCTACTGAAACGCATTTTGCGATACATAGGCATTATGGCACAAAACTATCTCATCGATGGAGCTAAGGTGTCCGTATCAAAGCCGATCTCAGAGAACTTCCAGGTGTCGCATTCCTTGAACATGGGTGGACAAAACAACTACCACTTTGGCGTTAACTACTTCGGAACCCCTGCCCCCGGAATTGATGTAAGCGACTCGATAAATTTAGTGCAAATTGACAAGTTGTACGGTTTCGTGACTGATCTGTTATCGAAATAGTATGGCTTAGTATGTATGCCTTAAGTCACTTTTGCTTCTTGAAGTTGTTTTCATGTATTTACACTGTCTGGCCGCTCTTCGCCACCAACGCTGAGATCGATTTATGTGTGGCTTTTAGTCATTGACGAATAGTATATCACATGTCCTACCAGTCACATTGGTTTATTTTTAGGCTACCAAGACTGCATAGCTGACTTGACACAATTGTCTTTTATAGAGCCCCAGCCCTGTCTTGATTGGTGATATTGATGGACAAGGTAACCTGATGGCGCAGATACAATACATGTTCAGCGAGAGAATTAAAGGAAAAGCTGTATACCAGGTAATTTTGCAACGATTATCGTTTTTGTGCGAAGTTGAGTATGTAGTTTGTCATTGGACTAAAAGCATATGACAACTGCCATGTCTTCATCGTATGAGGCTTATATATATATATGTAAACGCATTAATATATATATATATAAATAAACATATATGCATGTATAGTTCATTTCATAAGGCTATTTTTATATACATAATGATCATTTGGATATAGAACTTTATATTAGTGGGTTTGAGTTTTTTGTCTGCAGTCGGTGGTCATGAATTTATTTGCAGGCGTAGATTATATGAATACGATGTCAGAATATTTTTGTTATTTCAGATTGGATGTCTAGATCTATGTTCAATTCTTTGAATCAAAGTCTTCGTGTTGCTCAGAAATTTGAATTCTACTCTTTTATTGACTCACTTAGTCTTATAAAAGGTACACATAGGCAGATACCCTTGTCAGGCTCTGTTTGTATATGATCGTGGCTGTGTATTTGAGTAATAATCTCTGTATGAATGAATGTATAGGAAGCTTGTAGGAATTACGTGCATATAAGTATGGATTTTCGCATATTTTAGAATGTAATCGTCAGTAATTTGTGGTAGAATACTAGTCGCATAATTTGGTAGGCGATCCCCGTTTACATGCATGGATACAAGCCTGTTCACGTGTTGGCTGCAGTGCACATCGGAATACATATATTTCCATCTTGGGAATAGTGTATCGTGTTTCCAGTTATGTACATACACTACACGGCACATAAGACGTGGATCGGTGTTAACATACTGAAACTTCAGATTGTACATACGAGTTGACGCCTCTGACCGTGCGTGTAGTGTTTATACATGTGTGGTGATTATTATTGTGTAGTTTTTTGGGATGTCTCCGATCCTAGTGTTGCAAGCCCTGCAGTAAATTGGCGGAAGCTGAGGTGTTATCGCGTTGACCTCTTATATATATTTTTTGGATCAATTAAGTTTACCGGAATCTTTTATCAATATATGTTCATAATTGCTCGTATTATTCACACAGAACCACATTCACACTCATACGTATATATATATATATTCACATTTCAATACGTCTGAGTCCTTTACATATATGTTGTTAGCGGTAACACATTCATGCCAAGATCTATACACAAAAAATCTTGTTGATATATATGATCTAGGATAGTGGGTGCGACTCCAAAGATACATATACCCTGGCTTATCTCTTCGGCTCACATACCCATTGATTTATCTCGGCAGACCCAAGGAGCAAATGATATGACTAGTTTGGAGTTAGAGTACCGAGGAAATGATTTCTCAGCGGCTGTAAAGGTATGGCTTTTAATAACGGGGGTTTATTTTACCACCTGGAGGTAGTTCTTGGTCTGTACGCTATTATGACATGGCAAAGCATTCCTCCCGATACACATGATGATCACAACACATTCATACCAAGATCTGCACAGAACAAATCTTGTTGAGAAGCGTGCTTCTGAGCTTATCGGGAGAAGATATCAGTCGACCTTGCGTGTAATCGTTGTATCTAAGCTCACAAGACTATTATTATCGCCTTTGTTCGTGCGCTCGTGGCAGAGTATTTATATGCGTCATCATCTCGTCTTATACGCAGGCTATCAACCCTGATGTCGTTAGTGAGAACGGGACGTGGATTGCCAACTACTGGCAATCTGTCACACAGAGAATCGCCGTCGGAGGTATGTATGTACCATGCTCTCATTAGCCTGGTATATGGTATACAACTGTATGACACTGTCCCTAAACAGACTCGAATGCAAATTGCGCGCGCGTGATTGTATGCAAGTATTTATTTTTTCCTTTCCAATTGTTGACCTATTGGCATCTTGCCTCTGTTTCTGTGTGTGTGGGGGGGGGGGAGGCTTGCGAGGACTATCCAGCTTTGCATGTTTGCGTTTGTTACTGCTCATAGCCATATACAGGGCATCCTTCTCCCAAACATAAACGTTCACGAGATTGCGTCTATTCTTATTAGCTGTATCCGCGTTCTCACATACCAATATCCAACACACTACAGCCGAAGCCTTATACCAGTACCACGAGGGTATGGAAGACGGAGGCATGTCACTCGGAATCCGCTGGAAGGATGACAAGTGCACTTCATGTGTCAGTTTGGCGCCACAGGGAACGTTTGCCGTGTCGTACGGCCACCGAGTCAGTGACAAGGTCACCCTGGGTGTAGAGTTAGAGGGAAGTATGGCGAGTAAAGATAGCGTGGTTAACGTAGGTTACGAATACAACCTACGCCAGAGCGCCGTGCGTGGACAGGTACGTATCAGGCGTGTGTATGTTGGTCTTTAAAGAGGCTGCATTTGCAGTATTGAATCTCAAATAGCTTTACAAAAGCTTGTCATTAGCTATAGATATTTGAAAGGTTTCGTTGATTTCTGCTCTCAATTGTGAGTCCCTTTCACCTGACTCACAGGTAACATTACTTGCTCATTTTATATTCTAATTCACCCTTGATTTCTCGCTTCTGTTGCACAGATCGATTCCCACGGTGTCGTATCGGGTGTACTGGAGAACAAACTGGCCCCCGCCCTATCTTTCTTGCTCACTGGACAGTTGGACCATGCCTCAGGCAAGAGCATGTTCGGCTTGGGATTCGTCCTGGGCGCCTAAACTGTTTAGGGATGGTTGTAAAGTGTGAGTAGATAGCAGTAGCAACTGCCTATCTTGCTTGTATTTAATTAATTAGCTGATACCCGTATCCGATATGATGTCGCGTTGTAGGGCTGTGGATTGTAGTACTCTGGGCTGATGTGATCAAAACAAACGATCGATCGGTTTCACAGGAGAAACGGAATGCGTTGTTTTTGGTACACACGGCATTTGTACTCTCAAACACATGCCAATGCACGTCTCCGGAAGACGGGTGGATCTGTACAGGGACTTTTATATAGGGAAATTAAATAATTAAGAAGTGTCTGGTACACATGACTTTGGGAGTACTTTCAAGCTTTCCCGATGATTCGTTTTAAAGTTTCGGCCTAAATTCAATTTTTTTAGTAAGTGAGAAATCGGAAAGTTGCAATCGTATTTATTTTGGTGCCCTCATAAATTTCGAAATGCGGAACGATGTCTTCTGCTGGCCAGATCGTTGTCGTCGAATATGTTGTATATCATCTTTCTCGCATTCATAGTCTATGAGCGCATTGCGTAGTGCACCACTGCTAAGTAATAGCTGATGTGGTTTGTGTACTCACATTAATTAGAGCCACCAGAAGGGTATATGTGTGGAAGTAACGCTCAACCTAGATCCTTGTCGTTTGGGTCCTCGTGACAGCGTTCGAATGTCGTAGTGCCGAATCTGAGGGTGGCTATCATTGCAAATATTACAAGTGTATATCAGTTGCACAACAAGAAGCGTACCATGCAATTGTCATGGAGGCGTAAACCTGTACGTGGCACAGTTCTCAGTGGATATGTAAACCGTTATACATGCATCAATTAATTAGGAAAATATGTATTTATAATTGACGATACAGACTGTTATATGATAAGTCTAAGTCTACAAGTTTGCAAGCGAAAAACCCCACCGAAACACATCTATACTCAGTTTCGTATAAGTGTATTGAAGTTGATCACTATATCTGTAAAATTGATAGCAAGCCGACAACGCTCACCTGGAAATACATGTAGTGGACAATGATTTTGCCTCTCTCAAGATGTACACATTAAATCGTAGAGGTTTTTAATGATATACACGAACGCTCGATGATCCAGATACTACAATCTCATTCATGTATGCAGCATTGCAACGAAGAATATTGCTTACCAATCCGGGATATGACATTCGTATTCCCATGTACGTAAGACGCATTATCGGTAATTTGCATCTGCACGTGCGTGAACCATGTCCACGAATAATGTGCGTCACCTAGCGATGGATGCGGATTCATAAGTAAACACGCTGCACAGATATTTTCGATTCTCTCTTGAGTGCCACCAAATACGGGCAAATAAATGCAAAGCAACCATGGAAAAGCAAACATATCTTCATCTTTTTATTGTATGTTATTGTTAATCTTATCTACAATTTAGTACGGGAGCTCGACACTGATCCACGCCTTTTCGAGAAGCACTTCTTTCGAAGGCGCGCCAGAGCGTGATCCGACCTTCTCAATCTTGTCTAGTGTATCATCGCCGCTCACCATACGCCCGAACACGGTATGTTTCCCATTCAGATGTCTGGCCTCCGCGAATAGTACAAACACCTGACTCCCATCGGTCCCTGGGCCTGCGTTGGCTGTGGAGAGAACCCCTCGGCCGTCGTGCTTGGCTTCGGGTGACTTGTTGAACTCGCCCGAGTATCTGTAGCCTGGAAGTGCGAATGTGGGTTAGGATGAGTAAAAAACTGCAGGGAATAGAATTTGAAAATATGTACACACACACACACACATATA